AGTTGGAGCAGGTGTTGTTGTTGTAGGAGCAGGTGTTGTTGTAGTTGGAGCAGGTGTTGTTGTTGTTGGGGCAGGTGTTGTCGTCGTAGGATTCGGCGTCGTCGTCGTCGGAACCGCCGTTGTCCCTGTCGGAGTTGCCGATGTTGTAGTTTGAGTCGTTGTCGTTTTACCAGCGGGTGCTATAGTTGTACTTGTAGTTTTGCCAGTTTCAAGTGTAGCTGACAAGTGGAATACATTCAAAATAAAATGATAATTCATTTAATTGTTATGCCCTTTCGTAATTATATTATGTTTTTGCTGATTTCAGAATATAAATGAAGAGTAAAACATTTAAGCTGCTTCTTCAAAATTTTGATCATTAAATATTAAAGCATAATTAATCGTAATGTACTTTAAATAAAGTCCTTAAAAGGATGAGGTTCTAGAGTGAACTCAAGCATAATTTTCTATCATTCTCCTCACCTTGTGTATCAGCTTGTGTCAAGACACTTTAAATGCAGTCGGTTTAATGTCACTTAGCTTACCCATTAGAATCAGGAAAATTGATGTGACCCGTCTGACATCCATTTTGTCTTCCTTTTGAATCTATAAAATCAAACAAATACAGACTGTTACAGAAACAGTATGTGTAAACATTTTGCACTTCAGTTACTAGCTATTGGAATCATTACTTCCTCTCTTATGTGAGTATTAGAATCCAATTCTGTTTTAAATGAAACAGATCTGATGGAATATACATGCTCCGAGTGAGGAGACTGCTCCTTCACTACTTCTATCACTCAGTCCATGTAAGTGTTCACAAGTATGAACCATGTTGCTGAAATGTCTTTGAGCAAAGCACTGAACCCCTAATAGGGCAGGGCTGCTCACTTCTGACCCCATTTTGGACTAAAAGAGATCCCCACAAGAACCAAAGCTACGTCAAATTCTTTTGATTAGTAAATGAATTGAGAATAACACATAATTTAAGTTCATTTATAATGAAATTGAAATGCATGAACAGTTCTTAAAATTAGGTCAATATTCATTAATAGAATTTATTTGCACAATAAAAAAAAACTAAACACAGAAACAGTAAACAGACTCTCTCTCTTTCTCTCTCTTTCTGTCTGTCTCTGTCTCAGTGTGTAAATATACAAGAGTGTATATATAGAGTTCAAACTCTACTTACCCAAAATGAAAATAAATAGGATGAAAAGTTACAAATTCTGCTTTAGATGCTTTTTTTCCAAACTGTTTTTAGTATATTTTAATTTAGTCCAGTCTGTGATATACTGTAAACCTTTCACGTTTATGTGACAGTCCTCATCCATCAAGGCGTTCTTATATTGGAATTGAATAGAGGCTTATGACGTGACTCATACGTGGTACATTTTTCTGAACAATTAAAAAAACAAATGGCATTTTCATGGCTCAGTACCATGGCATACTCCTTTGTTTACCTGTGAAACAAGTTGCTGTTGCATTCCACCCCTGTTATTGTGTATATATATATATATATTTACCAGTTTGTTAAGTTATGACAAACAAATATAGAATTCTTGTGAAGTGGCAATGGAGCAGTAAAGTGACACAAGTAAAGGAAAAAGTAATATAATGTGATTGCATATTCAAGCACACTGAACAAATATTTTGAATGATATCGAGTTATTAGAGTAAATCTTTAAATAGATAGATACAATACAATTAAGTTACACAGAAAATATGTTTATATGGATACATCCAAAGAGAAGCATTTAATTTCATCCCAAATCTCTTTTTTATTGAAGTATATTGAAGTTTGCTAAAAAACAGACTTACTTACCTTTATACTTATGTAATAATTGATGGCAGATTAGTTTTGTCTTGTGTTTTTAAAACTGTAATAGCAATAAAATATCAATAAAACAGGAAAAACAAACTGCTCAAGAGACAATGATGCAGCTCCAAATTTTATAGTTCGCTCCTCCCTCACATAAAGCTTATTGTTAGAAAATTGCTATTAATTAAATTGTTTTTTCTCATGTACATTTTAAAAACCTCGCGAGAAAACAGAGAAGAGAGGTTTGGATCCATAAAATCTGCGGCTCTGTGGATGCACTGGTTTTACCAGCTTTCCCATTGCCCTTGAACATAGGCATGTTGAGTTACCTCCTATAGGATGAATTGTAGTTACAGAATTAATTTGGCTTATGAAAATGAGTAATCTATTTCATATTATGTCACAAGCACACCAATTTTTTTCACTTTCATCTCAATTTAAAATGATACTCCACACACTACTGCAGGTGTTATGTCTCCCCCTGTTGATCTTTGGTACACATTTGGTTCCTCTTTCCTTCTTTATTATATCCAAGGATAGGACCAGAGGGTATTGAAAAATCTAGATTTTGATTATTATATATAAATGTGGTAATTATAAAAATAATAATGATAAATATGATCACTATTAGATATGAAAATTCTTCACCTCCTGCCCTAAACTGGTTCTGACCATCTTTAAACACAGGAACCTCAGAAACGTCTGTAAAATAAATAGTAAATTAAATTGTAATTAAGAAATAATAAAAAAAACGTCTGTTTGATTGACAGGCGATCTCCAGGAAGAGCAATGCAAGAACAACGCACAACCACGTAGCCAAAGACGTCACTGAAACTAAGCTATGCATTATGATAATAAACACTTAAAAATAGATACACAGGATACACTGTTATTAATATTAATTATATGCTACTAGTTACTGTAGCTAGGAAGTTCACTGTTCATATGGGCAAACAAAATAATTGACATCAATATACTTTTAATAAAAAATACTAGGCTATAATAAAATACTTAAATTCACAGTTTTTCATTGCTTAATCCATTAATTAAAACATATTTTTATGCTTCTAATGCATTCATTTAAATAATTATTTTCAGAGAAAACCAAACATGTTTTTTCTTTATTCGCGAGATTACGATACAATTCAAGTGAGGTTTCCTGTCTAAAACAGACTCAAACCTCTGAAGAAAGGATGTTTTCAATTTGAAATCTTCTGTTTTAGATGTGTAATATTATTACGATGTTGCTTAAGACAGTCGAGCCATGCCCATTCAAGCTGGAAGGAAGATTTTTGTATTATTATTTCTTCATTTCTATTATTTTTCTGTAATATGTAATAATAGTGATTTTATACTTTTTTAATGTGAAGCGCAAGGTGGTCTTACAGGCGCATTTGGTCCATGTATGTTCAGCAGCGCAACCTGCAAAAGGGCTGGGTGAAGCTGAATATAGATCACAGGTGGCGATTATTAAATACTGTATCAAAATAAAGACATTGATTTGGTGACTTGTGCTCTTTTAGTCATAATTCTAATGTATCTCACCTCGTTCGTGGTCATATAGTTCAGTAATTGTGGTTACACAACCGCGTTTGCACTGCAGTGTGTTTCACGGATAAAACATGAGACGCTACGTTTGCCAAAAAAAAGATGTTGGATGAGGGTAAGATTAGCCCTGGTAACTGGACGTCTCCTTCATAAGTGTGTAGAGCTCTTTATGTTTATATTGTAGCAGCTTGCTCTTGTTTTCAGGCGATTTAATGAAGATAAACTCAGCGAACGCTCGTGCGTAAAGACACTGCGCTCTGGCGCGGCACTTAAAACAACTTCACACATATATCATGCCTTCGGGTGGTGGGATTTCATGAACTGAAGGAGACGCTTTTTATACAATATAAGTTGTGGGCAGCAGATACTGCAAGAATCACCCACATTCATTCATAGATCAATGACCGATTTACTGACTTTCCTGCTTTAACCACATTAACCCTTTTGCTGCTTCCTATTGATTGTGTTTGAACATACAGCTATAGTACAGTAACAGCGTGAATACACACACAGTTCTCTAGGCACCACTGCACCACTAGGCTACAAGAAGTAATTACAAAATAGTTTCATAAAAGAAAAGGAAAAACTAAACAAACAGCACAAGCAGAAAAAATGTGACCATTAAAATAATAATCTTAATAAAAATAAGAAAGGGTCTAGAGTAAATCATATTCAGACTTAAATACAGTTCTCTGACATTGGCTCTCTCACCCTTCCTGTCACTCTTCAGCTGCCACTATCAATATTATATATATATTTTAATATTATTATTATTATTTTAATATCATAATATTGTTATATTACTAAACATAACATATAAAGTCCAACACATAATCTATGAAGTGACAAAGTCTCTACTTGAGTGGTCGCCTAACCAGCGTTGCAGATCAGGGGAGTAGTCTCAGTAGCACACAGGAGCGGGACATTAGTACAACTCACTACTTTTTAAGATACCTTCCCTCAAATCCATAACTGCTTGATGTGCGAGTAGGAAGTCCAAACCTAAGATCACTGTTTGTATAATGTTTCTGACCACTCGAACGTTATGCTATAGCTATAGCTTCTGAAACATTCCTTTGCAATAGTTGGCTTGCCATAGTTTAGGAATGCCTCCAGTATATAGCCATGTGATTTTTGGAGCATAAACATGTAATGGTCCCTCAGTCATTTACAAAAGTCTGGAAAACAGTAAACTCAATGGTAGGTACTAACTAAAATTACTCATGTACAGCGGGGGCATGAAAAGCAACTTAAATATTGCACATAAATGATACTGAATAATCTGAGTGATAATTATTGTTTTTATTAGCAACCTAAACCTACTACAAGGACTTTTAAAATTGGTTATGAAACAGTCTCACTTTAATACTGATACCTCTACTGTATATGACCTACATAAGAACACAACCCTATCAACAAGAACAGCAGATATTTCCATGTAGATTTATTCTTAATTCCTGCAACTGGGTCAGATTACCCCTGATGCCAATGAAACACAAGTAGAAACATCTTTGTCTACAGGGGCCACTAGAATCAACAAAAAGTTCCTT